TATTTCAGAACCCCCTTCCCCTCCCCCTTTTCTGATGAAGGGTCTAGGCCCGAAACGTCAGCCTCTCAGCTCCTATGATGCTGCTTGGCCTGCTGTGTTCATCCAGTCCTGCACCTTGTTGTCTCGGATTCTCCAGCATCTGCAGTTCCTACTATCTCTGATTCATTTCTTTCAATCTCTGTGCAACATTCATCTCAAACACAGCAACAACATTTTTTTCCTCAATTTAAAACACAGATAAAGGAAAACTTGAAGGATGACAAATCAACGATCTGTGGTCTGGGTGTCACTGAACATAAATATTGTACTTTGTGCATTTTCCTCATTTGGGAAGTTAGAGGGAGCTTACAATGTTTTAATGAAACTTCTGATTTTTTTTCAACTATGCTGACAACAGCCATTGTACTAATAAACGAAGGGTAGGAAAATATATCTGCCACTCAAAACGATCTAAAAGCCATGTATCCAACTCATGTTAATCTTCTGAAATAAGCAAAAACTACAGAAAAATACTTGAGATTAATTTAGAAGGTCTGTGAAATTGCTCTCTAACTCTTTAAGTCAAGTGGGCAGGTTCCAGTAGATCATAATAAGTCGTAAATCTCAGTTGACCCCACACCTTACCTTCTACAACTTAAAATATTCTCTATCTTTTCTAGGACTGCAAGAAATCCATATTTATATGCCTTGGTACTTGGACCATGGTAAAAATGCCAGATAAATGCAAGCTTTACTGTTGTTGATTCATTCTCAGTGATCGGTTACATAGGGTGATGACAGACACTCAAAAAAAGGATTTCTAGTCATCTAACCCAATGCTGCCTCCATACGTTTTACCTATGTTTCTTGCTTTCCTATCCCTATCCAACTCAAACAGCCTATGCCTATGAATATCAGCCTAAACTCAGCATAATACTGTTGTCTCTGGGTCAGCAGGTTAAAAACCACACTGCTAATACAGTAAATGAGCACACATTTTAGATAACAGTTTTTTACCGAACTAAGGGAGCATCAGAAATGAATTTTCAGAAATGCAACTATTTAAAGAATAGTGTAGTTTTATCCATCAACCAAGAACATCAGATTAACTGGGTCAATTATGCCATTTTTGTTTGAGTGACCTGTATGCAATTTGATGCTGTGTTTCTTCCATTGCAGCTATGACTTTCCACAAATGAAATTTCTATGTCAAAGTGGTGTAGTGGATATCATGTTTGAAGATTATTGTGATCCTTCTCCTAATCCCTATTCAACCTGCAATCCATATTCTTATTGTTAATCCTAGGTATACCTGGAGCTCCCTCCCTAACAGCACTGTGTGTGTACCTCCAACAGAGGACATTCAGGTGTTCAAGATATTAGCTCACCACCAACTACCCCAGGGCAATTAGGGAGGGCAGTAAATGCTGGCCCAGTAGCAAAGCCCACATCCATATATAAATCTAATAAATGGATCAAAGTGGCACTTTGGATGGGAATCCTACATACTGTCTTAAAATGCTTTAGTTTTGCTTGAAATTTGTTGCTGAAGGAAATGAGCCCCAGGTCTAAATTCAAGCCTGTACCTCAAAGAAGTGCAGGCATTTTATGAAAAAAAGTACTTTAAGGTGCCCCCCAGCTCCACATATGAATGTGTGAATGTATCAACTCTGAAATAAAAACAGAAATTGCTGGAGAAACTCAGCAGGTCTGGCAGCATCTTTAGGGTGAGAAACAGAGTTAATATTTTGAGTCCAAAGTTCTTCTTCAGAAATCTACATATGGACTTTCCTGATCCTGTACTCATCTTCAGCACACTCATTCCTTTTGACATGGACAGGGTCAGCGACTGCTGATATACATACAGATGTTTGTACTGGAAAGTGATTCTTGCTCACTGCAGATTTTCAGGGCCTTACCTCACAGCGCTTTTGTTTTACTGTCATTCCAAAGACACAAGAGTTCTTTATTTCTAAGCCCAAAATTCTGTATTTCTATTTTTGTAACTTAGAACTACAGCTTCAAGCTTTTCAGTTCTTCTTTGAAATTTCTCCAAGTATATGTTGTTTTGTAGATGCATGTTCCTTCAATCATCAATTGCAACTCGAGCCAAGAAGTTCCACATTGTCATTGTGAGACTGAAAGCGCAGTTGATAGGAAGTTCCAACTTCTGGATCTACATCAATATAATTATCCAGGTCTGATACTGAAAGAAATTTGCTCTTGCCCTATCTGTAAACAATTTTCTGTGCGGTAGATTTTTCCAACAACCCTCTCTTTTGCTGCTTTCTATGAATGTAATTGTCCATACTGCAGACAAAAATCTTCATCTTCATTGCTTGGAGCAGACGGTTGAATGGTTTTAGAATATGTGCAATTTTCAGCCTATTGAAATCATTGAGAGGTTCCAATTTTTGACGACATTTTGATGCCACATTGGATAGATTGATGCTGAACCACTATGATGTTATGTTGTGTTCAGATAACTAAATGAAATGTTATCCCTCCTCCTGCCATTATCCCTTCTCTTGCCCTCACTTCTCCTCCTGCCTCCACATGGATCTGGTCTCTGAACTTTTCGTCTTGGTTTATTTATATTACTGCACCACTTCCTACTCACTCTTAAGGTCAGGTCATTTGAAAGTTATTAGAAGTGATTTGAAAGCAACCTTGTTTCACATCCCATTTTCAGCTTGATGTCACGCTGTCTGGATGCATCCTACACATGGTACTGGTGCAGGGCTTTGCACGATGAGAGTTCAATTCAGGTTTCCAGACCCAAAAGATCACTGTGGCCTGGATGCATTTCTCTCCGTTATTTGAATGCACTTAAAGTCATGCAGAGGTATCAGTGCCTGTCCCTCAATTCCTTTGATGTCAATGGTTTCTCAAGCCAACACTTAAGTTAGACTGTACCTACTGCCTCAATTCACTTTTCTCAGACTGTTCAGTTGAATTAATTTGAATCCTAGTGCTGAACACATTTAAATAATTATTACAAATTTTGCACTGCCTTCCAAAATTCTCTTGTCATATTTTGCACCAGTAATTCATAAGGTCTGAGGAAGGGTCACCAGACCCGAAACGTTAACTCTGTTTTTATCCTTCACAGATGCTGCCAGACCTGCTGTGCTTTTCCAGCAACTTTGTTTTTGTTCCTGATTCACAGCATCTGCGGATCTTTCACTTTTAATTAATATATTTGCTACTCAAGTATTTTCTGCACTCCTTTGCAATGCTAACTGTCATGATGTGGTTTCAGGTAATAGCGACAAGTTGACTTTGTGGAAGAAGTTGCTAAAAGAAAGAAAGAAAGATTTGGTTTTGTATGAGTCACAACCTCAAGATGTCCCAAACAATTTATAGCCTTTACAGAAATACTTCTGAAGTGTAGGTCTCATAATGTTGGAAATAAGGTAACCAATTTGCACACAGGAATATGATAATAAGCAGATGATCTGTATAGTGTTATTGATGGAGGGATAAATATTAGCTAGGACACCTGCTGGAGAGAAAAACCAATAATACTTGGACATGAACATATTATTCAAACTTTGAACCTCCATTTTGAAGTATAGAGAATGAGTTGCACCAGAATATATAATTCACCAGTTTCACTGCTTTTTCTTTCAAGACAGGAAGAATTCTCTTGTTCTCCTTTAAGATCATGCTGTGAGGTCTTTATTCCATCCAAAGGCTGGAGCAGATACAACATTGGTTGAGCATCTCATCCAAAAACAGCATTTCCAATGGTCCAGCACTCACTGTCAGCTTAGATTTTATACTGAAGTCTCTGGAGTGAGAATTCCAACACAGAAGCAAGACCTCTGTTAACAGAACAATCTTTCACAACTTCATCACCAGTTTGCACATAAAGGAATAAATGATGTGCAAACATCAATGCCACGGATAATTTTCTACTTAGTTGCTGCTCAGCCATCACCAAGAGACAACACGCAATCAAAGTGCTCCATGCAAGTTTTGCAGTTCTTGCCATTATGGTGCTTGCCACAAAGGTGCAATGCAATAATAAATAAATCACTGAATTAAAAAATACAACTTCAACTAATTTCCAGGAAGAGCTTGCCAAACAACCTGAAAATGGTAGATATTCTAACATATTTCAAAGCTTTTCTCTATCTATCTTACTAACTATATTTTGGGAAGGAACAGTAGAGTTTAATGGCTGCCTATAATGAGAACAGAGACTTAGATTTGACATACTCTGCATGACTTTCTTTTCAATATACTTGATGGATAGGAGTGAATTGAATTATTTTTTACTGTCCTCTTCTCCTGTCCACAGCAAATTGTCTTCTTATGAGATAGCAAAAACTGCCGATGCTGGAGTCAGAGATAACACAATGTGGAGCTGGAGGAACACATCAGGCCAGGCAGCATCAGAGGAGCAGGCACTCGGAGATAGGAAGAACTGCCAATGCTGGAGTCAGAGATAACTGCTCCTCTGATGCTGCCTGGCCTGCAGCTCCACACTGTGTTATCTCTAAATTGTCTTCTAATGTTCCTTTTCCCTTTTAAAAATAAGCAGTTGTGTGTTTTCCCCAAACAGTGTATGTGAAGTCCAATTTAAAAGGATTTCGAATAAATTCCTTTAGTATTAAAACAAACCAGAGTTTATTTTTGCATTCAAAACCTGGGCAATAGTTCATTCCAAGAAAGAAAATATGAAAAAGGAAAGGAGAAACTTTCCAATTAATTAGTCAGGAGGGCGTGACAACAAATGAGGCAGGTAAAGGGATCCTTAACGCTGCATTGGAGGAACCTCAGTTCTTGACCTGTCTATCAGGTATGAGGAACTTGCTCCCTCTGTAACTGAGAAAAGAGTCTGCAGAGAGGATGGTCAAACTGACGACTGCATTTTGGTCCATGAAGCCATTCAAGTGAGAGGATCACAAAGAAAAGTGATAGTGATAGAGGATTCTATAACTAAGGAGCTAGATACTATCCTTTGTGAGCAGGATCAAAAGTCCTGCATGGTGTGTTGTCTACCTATTGCCAAGATAGAGGACATCCAGAGTCAGCTTGAAAACATACTGGAGAGGGAAGGAGAGGGTCCAGTTGTTGAGGTCCTTGCTGGCACCAACTATATCGGCAAGAGGTCGGGTTTTGGTAATGTCATGAATTAGGAAGAAAATTTCAAATAAGGACCTCAAAGGCTGTAATCTCTGGATTATTGCCTGAGCCACATGCAAATTAGAAAAGAGATATGAAGAAATAAGAAGATTATGGAATTAAACACATGATTAAAGGAATGGTTTGGGAAAGAAGGACTCCATGTTGCGGGACGCTGGAATCGGTATTGAGGCTAGAGGGATCAATGGGACAGGCTGCACCTGGAACCAGGATTCCAGCGGAAAAGCTAAATTGGTAGTCACAAAAGCTAAAGGGGACAGGGTTCAGGAGAAGTTATTAAAGTTTCCAGAACAAGTTATAGGACAGAAAGTATGGAAAGGATCAGGAATCTAACTTCAGGCATAGCAGATAAGAGTACAACTGTGAGAAGGGGAATGCTCAATGCAGGACTGAGGGCTTTGTAAGTAAATGCACACAGTATATGAAACAGGGTAAATGAGTTGTAGTGCAGGTTGCAAATGGCAGGTAAGGTAGGGGTGGAGGTTAGATAAACCTTAGGATTAGGGTAAAAGTTCAGCACAACATCATGGGCCGAAGGGCCTGTACTGTGCTGGACTGTTATATGTTCTATGTTCTATGTAAAATGTTGTGGGCATCATAGAGACATGGTTGCAAAGGGATCAGGACTGGGAGCTAGATATCCAAGGATATCTGTCATATTGAAAGAACAGGCAGATGGGACCTGTTACTAAGAACAGAAACTAAATCAATAGCAAGAAGTGATATAGGGTCAGAAGGCATAGAATCTGGATGGGTAGAGTTGAGGAGCTGCAAAGGGAAAAAGACCCTGATGGGAGTTACATACAGGCCTCCTCACAGTAGTCAGAATGTGGGGCAGAAAATAAATCAAGAAATAGCAATGGCATGTAGAACAGGCACTATTTCAATAATTATGGGGTACTTCAATATGCAAGTGGATTGGGAAAATCAAGTTGATAGCAGATCCCAAGAAAAGAAAAGGGTAGAATGTCTACAAGTTGTTTTTTTTTGGAGTAGTTTGTGGGTTTGGTGATATGTAATGAGGCAGATTTCATTAGGGAGCTTAAGGTGAATGATCCCTTTGGGGGCAGTGATCATAATGAGATAGAATTCACCCCGCAATGTGAGAGAAAGAAGCTGGAATCTGATGTAATTGTAATACATTTGAGTAAAATACAAAAACATGAGGGAGGAGCTGGCCAGAGTTGATTGGAAGGAAAGTCTAGCAGGTTAGACAGTGAAGCAGCAATGACAGGAGTTTCTGGGGGTAATTTGGGAGGCACAGCAGAAATTCATCTTAAGGAAGAAGAAACATGCTGAGGAGAGGACAAATCAACTATGGCTGACAAGGGAAGTCAGGGACAGCAGAAAACCAGAAGCAAAAGCATACAATGTAGTGAAGATTAGTGGGAAGCTGGAGGATTGCGAAGCCTTTAACAACCAGTAGAGGATAAATAAAAAGCTGTAAGCAGGAGGAAGATGAAATATTAGGGTAAGCTAGCTAGTAATATAAAAGAAGATTGTAAGAAATTTCTTTGATATTATAAGGTAAGAGGGAGGCAAGAGTAGACATTGGACTGCTGGAAAATTATCCTGGTGTCGGTGTAATGAGGAACAAAGAAATGCTGGAGGAATTGAATAAGTACTTTGCATCCATCTTTATGGTGGAAAATATCAATAGCATACCAGAACTTCAAGAGAGTCAAGGGCAGAGGCGAGCATAATGGCCATCAATAAGAAGAAAGTACTGGGGAAGTTGAAGGTAGATATAACATCCAGGCTGGATGGACTACATCCCAGAGTTCTGAAAGGTATAGCTGCGGAGATTGTAAAGACTTTGTTAGTGATCTTTCAGGAATCATTAGAGTCAGGGAGAATTCCAGAGGACTGGAAAAAAGCTAAGGTGATACCTCTGCTTAAGATGGGAGGGAGGTAGAAGTCAGGAAATTATAGTTCTGTTCTCCCAACCTCAGTTGTTGGAAAGATTTTGGACTCCACTGTTAAGGATGAGACTGGGGAGTATTTGGAAGTGCAAGGGAAAATAGGGCTAAGTCAGCACAACTTCGTCAAA